ATATTTAGTTTGGGGAGAACTGAAATGAACTGAACCACATCTTCTGAAGTGTACAATGCATAGTGGTGGTATGAAACGTATTTTTCAGGATATGTGGGACATCGTATGCAATTGTTTTTATATTCAGATAAATTAATTATCAAGAAAAGTATATGAAAAATAATATACTCCTCTTCACGTTGCGTGAAATCTTTTCATACAAGTTTGTAATACCTTAAGTTGTGTTCCAGTGTTTGGACAAGCCCATGAACTTATGACTTAAAATTACCGATTGTCAGACAATTAACAATTGAATAGAAACAAGTAAAAAAGCTGTAAGTTCGGCCGGGCCGAACTTTTAATACCCTCCACCATTTGGTACAAATTTGGCAATTTCCAAAAAAAAAAATTAATTAAATCCGTTAAAAATTCTGTTAAAATATTAAAAATACCGAATACCTATACGACGACGTGGACCTGCATAGGCAATTTTTGTCATAAGTTATCACAATATCTAAATGCGAAACTTGAAGAAAAATCTGTTTATAATGTAGCTAAAATCATCAAAATACCGAGTATAGGGGGTACCTTTATATAGGGGCTATACGAAGATGTGGACCTGCACAGACAATTTTCTGGCATGGGCTAAGGTATCCATTACGAACTTCACATGCGAAATTTGAAACAATCCCGGTAAATACTGTCGCTAAAATAATCAAAATACGGAATATCGGGGGGGGGGGGGGGGGGGGGGGGTGTTACGGTATATGGGGGCTATACGAAGACGTGGACCTACATGGCCCATTTTCTGTTTTATGCTGCAGTATCTATTACAAACTTCAAATACGAAATTTGGAATGATTCCGTTAAATAATGTCGCTAAAATCATCAAAATACCGAATATTGGGGGGTACCGTTATATGGGGGCTATACGAAGACGTGGACCTGCACAGATAATTTTCTGTCTTAGGCGGTAGTATCCATTACGAACTTCAAATGTCAAATTTCAAACAATTCCGTTAAATAATGTCGCTAAATTCATCAAAATACCGAATATCGGGAGGTACCGTTATATGGGGGCTATATGATAACTTGGACCTACATGGCCCATTTACGAACGTAACCTGCCTACTGGCAAAATATACACGTCTGCAAAAATTTAGCCCTCTATCTCAATTTGTTCGAAAGATAGAGTGATTACAATAGACGGGCAGACAGACAGACAGACGGACATGGCTAAATCGGCTTAGAATTTTACGCTGATCAAGAACATATATACTTTGTTGGGTCTGACATGAGTATTTCGAGGAGTTACAAACGGAATGACAAAATTAATATACCCTCCATAGTATGGTGGAGTGTATAAAAAGTAAGGAAAGGACTGAAATCGGTCGGGATCGAAAATACACATTTTTAGGGTGAGACGAAAAAACTGCACCCAACTTCTGTCTGCTGTCATTTCTAAGCCAATGGCAGCTCATTGTATTTTTTACAAAGCATTTTGGTGAGAATTTTCCACAAAAAAAAGTTATTCGTGATGGAATCCAAGGGTGATAGTGTGATTTCTTTATGTTTAGCTGGAAAACCACAAGTGGCTATCGTTAGAGCACTCCTGCATTTAAATGTGAATAAATCTATTGTGTCTCGTATCATCGCTCGTGATCGTGATACTGGTAGCGTACGACGTCAAGAAAGTGGACGATAGAAAACAATAACAGCAACATCAGCAGAAATTGTTCGAAATGTGAAAAAGCGACTTGATTGAAACCCGAGTCGCAGTGGCCGAAAAGTGGCTCGTAAGCTGAACATATCGCAATATTCCATTCGGCAAATATTGAAAAATGAGCCCGGGGTTAAAGCCATTGAAATTCCAAAAAGTGCAAAAACTTACACCGCAATAGAAAGAAAATAGACTCAAAAGAGATAAAGAGTTGCTTCGCTTGACCCAAAGTGGTTAACTGAAGAATTTGGTTTTCTCCGATGAGAAAACATTCGTTGTCCAGCAGTTTGTAAACAAACAAAATGATCGTGTTCTCTTGCCAAAGAACTCAAGCGTGATGGAGTTGGCCGCCATAACAGCCGATGGTCGTTCTCCGCTCGTATTAATCGACCGTGGCATCCGAATAAATGCCGAAAATTATGGCGAAAATATTCTGGATGGTGTATTAAAGCCTTGGGCACGCAAACATTTTGGACGCAGAACATGGACATTCCAACAGGACTAAAAACCATCGCTCTCAGCACGCGCCACCCAAGAATGGTTACAAAATGAGGTTCCTCGCTTCATTTCCAGCGCATAATGGCCACCAAAATCTCCGGATACCAATCCGTTGGACTATTGTGTCTGGAGTATTTTGAAAAGCAAGGTTGGCACTAAAAAATACCAAAGTGTCGATCAAACAAGCGCTTCGCCGGTAATGGACCTAAGTACCGCAGAGCAACATTCGTACAGCGTGTGACGGTTTCATTGGACGTTTAAAGGCAATAATTCGTGCCGAAGATGAACAATTCGAACATATGTTAACTTTATCTAAAATTTGATGCTATTTCCGACATTGTTTGCTTTCATTCAATAAAATAAAAAAAAATGTAAAAATTATGTCGTTTGACTTCGTTGATTTTTTTTTATCTCACCATTGTGCACCAAATGCTAATATCAGTCTGAATCAAATGAATTTTAGCACACACTGCCAAGTTCAGTGTCTAGCAATTTTTTGTGAATATCGGTTCGGATTTTGATTAAACTCCCACATATGTTTAAATTTTTAAATTTAATTTTACGCCACATATTTAATATTCCTCCAAAAAAAAATTTTTGGTGAAAATCGCTTCAGATATAGCTATAGTTCCCATGCATATGTTCGATTTGGGGTCTAAATAACTCACATTCTTAATATAAACTCCACAACAATGATATTTGAAACCAGATATCAGATATAACAGAGAAATACCTCTGCCAAGTTTCTCCAAGTTCGGGTCAGATTTAGATATATGTTTCATACAAATCTTCATCCGATTGCACGGTTATTGTGTACCAATATGTAATATCAATTCAAATGGAGAGGATTTTTGCACATACGACCGAATGAATTCAGCCTAGAAGCAAGTACTTCAAATTTGGTGAAAATTGGTTCTGATATAGCTATATCTCCCATATGTATGTTTTATCCGATTTGAGGTCTAAGTCCCTCACTTTCGTAATGAACTCCACAACAATGATATTTGGAACCAGATATCAGATACAGCTCAGAAACACCTATGCCAAATTTTATTGATATCGGCTGAGATTCAAATATAGCAACCATTTATGTCTGATATGTAAATCAACCCAAATTGACTGAATTTTTATACCCTACAACCCTATGTATTGGGGGTATTATAAGTTTGATTGGGTCAGAATTTATGTAACACCTCGAAATATTGGTTTCCCATATAGGAAAGTATATATGGATCTTCCCAGCTCGCCGAGCTGAGTCGATGTAGCTATGTATGTCCGCCCGTCCGTCTGTCCATGTTAATTTGTAATCACGCTACAGGTCGCAATCATGGCCCGATCCGTACGAAATTTTGCACGAAGGTGGGGTTAGGGTCAGAATAGAAACCTATTTCTTTTGGAGATGATTGCCAAATGTTTAGGGGTTGAAATGGACCAAATACTGAAAAATGTCGGATTTTGCAGTACCTATACAGGTCGCAATTGTAGACCAATCGACGCGGAATTTCGCATGTAGCAAAAGTTTAGGGCGGTGAAGAAGCCTACCAATTTGGTTAGTCATCAGATAAAATTTAGCGGGTAAAATAGACCATATCTTTTGTGTTGAAAAAATTCAAAATTTTTCACTAAACCGCGAATATTTTAAATCCCGGCGAAATCACAAAGCCATGACAAGGTTACTTCTGACCTTTACATTGATGTTAACATCCAACAAATCGGATATATGTGCGATATATATGTCTATCAAAGAAGATATTCTTGAAAGATCTCTTATATGTCGAGAACGGCTGAACTGATTTCGACAGTTCTCATTAATTCAGAATGGCCTCTTCGCAGGAAAGAAAAAACGCCTAAAAAATCGCATAAAAATATCTCTTTAAAGATGAAAATATTGATTTTGTAACATTTTCTCATATTTTTTCAATTTTGTGACATTTTTGGCATATTTTCATTTTGAATTAAACATTTGATAATATTTCTACAGCTAACAAAACTAAGTAGTTAGGATATCAGGATATCATATACAGATCGCATTTATGGCCCGATTCTAACGAAATTTTGCATTGGGATAAGATGAGGGTCAGAATAGAAGCCTACTCTTTTTGGAGATGATCGCCATATATTTAGGGGTTGAAATGAACGAAAAAACTGCAAAATTGTTAGCAGGTCGTAATTATCGCCCGATCCTTACGCACATTTGAATGGGGGTTACCGGACTTTGCAAAAGCCAAGCAGTTTTGGATGGCCATCCAAAATTATTCAATGTGTGAAATAGTTTGCCAACTTTTGTAGACAAAATATTCAACGGTATTCAACGGTCGACTTTGCTTACTTGTTTTACATTCGATTGAATTTATTTTGGAAGTAAATATGACATTTGTCGAAACTCAATTCCGATATATCTGGTGCTGCGAATTATATATATTTTAATATGATCTTTCTCGAAGTCATATTATGCACTCTATGGCAATGTTATTCGGTACGAGAGGTACAATTGCCTCCGTCAAATTTGGTGGAAATCGATTCAGAGATGGATATACCTCCTGAATGTCTAATTCCAAAGTTATAATATGGATTTAAAAAAGGGTAACAATTGATACGATCCACTTCACATCAATTCCCTATAAAAGCGTTTATTTGAAACTGCTAGTTCTGCCAAATACCCTACACTATAATAAAGTCGGTCCGCCCGACTTTTGACCTTTCTTTACTTTTTTTCCATTCTTGACGTGAAATTATGAAATTTTATTTTCTAATTTATATATAATAAATTAATTAAATTATAAATCTATTTATTTTTTTACAGCAACACGAAAATGAAGTTAATTTTTGTAGCTGCACTTCTCATACTCAATGTCTCCCAATCATTTCACATGGAAATGAACGATGAGGATGGAAACGGTTTCAACTCACTTTCGACGACAATTGATAGACCAGCCCAGTTCGAGGAAAGGACTGGTCATCGGGCGAAACGCGGCATTTGGGATTTCTTTCAGAAAATGGTCATAACCAAAAATCTAATTGTGGAGGTAAGTATGAAATGTGACCGGAAGGGGCTAGTGTATTACTTAAATCAAAATTTCCATTTTTGTCTTATAGCAATATACTGATACGAGAGATACCTTGAATGAGGTGTACAATATGTTCAATAGTCAATTTTCGGATCCAGCGCCGTCGAAACCCACACCACGCAGTACAAGCACTGAAGCACCGGTTTGTATGAAAGTGTTCAAATTTGAGGAAATTTGGACACACAAGTGAAAAATAATGAAATGAAAACAATGATTAATTAAAAAAAAAAAACATATTAGATTCTAAAATTAAAAAAAGAAATATTTTAAATGTTCGCCTTTTTACTAAGACGAACAGCATTTGTGAATGGATTTTTGATCATTTTCGTTCTTTATTTTTTCTCAACAGAAAACGAGCAGTGAAGATAGCACGGATAGCTCTGAAGTGAAAACCACTACCGAACGTTATCAGATATCACGCTACGAACTTGGCCGCATTCTTGGACGCAATTTCAGAGGCCTCAAACGTTTGGCACAAATCGAGTTTCAAGATGCTTTCAATGTCTGTATTAATATCTTAATTATAGTGACATTTAAAAAATGGTATTAATTTATGTTTTTAGGCAACAAAATACAATTTGGCAGAATACCGAGAAGAGGCCAGCAAACAATTTGCCAACAGTTTGGCAGCGGAGAAAAAGAAACAATTGAAGGCACTGGTGAAAGGCTAAACACATTCATCCTACTTCAATCTATAAATTTAGTATTCATAGAATATAGAAATAATTCAAATAATTCGTAATGTAGTAAGGGGAGGGGAATTGAAATATTTGACAAATTGGTTAAAATTGCATGGGATTTAAAAAAAAAATAGTTTTCCGAATATATTTTGTAAACTAGATCCTAAATCTACAATAAGCTGTATAACATTTAAGTGTAAATATACAAAGTTATATAATGATTACATATGTATATATGAAAGAACAACAATTGGTTAAGAACATGGCCACTATATTTAAATGTTTGCTGTGATAAGTTCTAGTTTTTTATAACATAAATAGATTGACATGTAAATAAATCGTAATCATAAAACAACAAATTATAAAAAAAAACTTTTTTAAATAAGATTCAAATGTAACAAGTAAAAAAGCAGTTAAATTCGGCCTGGGCGAACTTTTAATACCCTTCACCATTTGGAAGGAACTTGAAAAATTTTAAAACAAAAACCGAAAACTACCACTTAAATGAAAATCGTTATATGGGTACTATACCCAAGACGTAAACCTGCATACGAAATTTTTTACCATAGGCTGTAGTACCCATTACGAACTTCAAATATGAAAGATGTTACAATTATAGTGAATAAAATAAAAACCAGTAAAGAAAGTCTTAAAGTCGGGCGGGGCCGACTTTATGATACCCTACACCACTTTGCTAATTTAGAAGAGCTACGCATAATAATTAAAAGTTTTTATGGGAGAATTCCATCAAACACGCTATGATTATAATTATAATTTAAAGTTTAAAGAACAAAATAAACATTTGTATCTTTTAAATTCGGAATTGTGTTGCCCATTTGGTGCACAAATAATTTCAAATCGGACGAAGATATGAAGATATATGGGAGCTATATCCAAATCTGAAACGATCTCGATAAAATTTGGCAAAGATATTTCTGAGCTGTATTTGATATATTTCCCTGAATATCGTTGTTACGGTGTGCATATTACGGCTGTGGGTAACAAATATAACAAATCGGATGAACAGTATATATGGGAACTATAGCTATATCTGAACCGATCTTCACCAAATTTGACATACTTGATTCTAGACTCAATTTGGTCGTAAGTGTCAAATTTCATCCCATTTGGGCAAATATTAGACGTTTGGTGCACAATCAAAAGTAAATCGGACGAAGTTATATATGGGAGCTATATCCAAATCTGAACCGATCTCGATAAAATTTAGCAAATGTATTTCTGAGCTGTATTTGATATATTTCTCTAAATATTGTTGTTACAGAGTGCATATTTTGGCTGCGGAGGACAAAAATAAAAAATCGGGAGGTACCGTCATATGGGGGCTATACGAAGATTTGAACCTTCACACAAAAAATTTTTCCATAGGCTGTAGTACCCTTTACGAGCTTCAAATACGAAATTCGAAATAATTCTGGTAAATAATGGCGCTAAAATCATGAAAGTACCGAATATCCGGAGGTACCGTTATATGGGGGCTATACGAATTTCTGAACCTTCATACAAAAATTTTTGTCATAGGCTCTAGTACCCTTTACGAGCTTCAAGTACGAAATAATTACGGTAAATAATGTCGCAAAAATCACCAAAGTACCGAAAATATGGAGGTACCGTTATATGGGGGCTTTACGAAGACGTGGATCTGCATACGAAATTTTTTGTCATATTACTACAATATATGAGATCTTCCAATACGAAATTTGAAACGACTCCGCTGAAAAATGTTGCTGAAATCATCGAAATACTGAATATCGGGAGGTACCGCTGTATAGGGGCTATACGTAAACGTGAACCGACATGGCCCATGTACGAACTTAAGCTGCCTACTGGTAAACTATGCATGTATGCAAAATTTTAGCCTCCAATCTCAATTCGTCCGACAGATAGCGTGATAGATAGATAAACAGATGATAGATCGTCTTCAAATTTTACGCTAATCCAAATAAATACACTTTGTAGGATCTATTATGACTATTTCGAGGAGTTACAAACGGAATGATATAGCTAATATACCCTCCATAAAATGGTGGAGGGTATAAAAATAAATATTCAAATAACACAGTATTTGTTACACTTACTTCAAGTCGCTGTGATAAACCGTGGAGGGTGGAGGAATCCTAAACGAAAATGCTTTTTGTTTATTGAACAGTGTTGGCTTGTTGTAATAACCAAAACAAACTAGTTAAGTCTGTAAGTAGTTTGCAGAATGTAAAAAAATTCATTCTGACAAAAGCCGTTAAAATTTTAAAAAATCCAGATATCAGGTATTACAGTAATACGGAGCTATATACAGGGTGAGATAAAAAAAAACTGCAACCAACTTCAGACTGCTGTCATTTCTAAGCCACTAGTCCGACAACTGTTAAAATTATTCCGGTGACAGCCCATTATATTGTTTACAAGCGTACAAAGCATTTTGTTGAGAATTTTCCAGCATAAAAGTCATTCGTGATAGAATTAAAGCGTGATAGTGTGATTTCTTTACATTTGGCTGGAAAACGACAAGTGGATATCGTTAGAGCTCTCCAGCATTTGAATGTGAATAAATCTTTTGTGTCTCGTACCATCACTCGTTACCGTGATCCTGGTAGCGTAGAGCGGCGTCAAGGTAGTGGGCGGAAGAAAACAGCAACATCAGCAGAAATGGTTCGAAAAGTAAAGAGCAACTTGATCGTAACCCGCGTCGCAGTGGCTGAAAATTTGCTCGTTAGCTGAACATATTGCAATATTCTATTCGGCAAATATTGAAAAATGAGCTCGGTGTAAAGCCATTGAAATTTCAAAAAGTGCAAAAACTTACACCGCAACAGAAAGAAAATAGACTCAAAAGAGCTAAAGAGTTGCTTCCTATACCCGAAACTGGTGAACTGCCGAATTTGGTTTTCTCCACAAACAAAATGATCGTGTTTACTTGCCAAAGAGGTCAGCAGAAAATGTGCACTTTCGGTTGGCCACGAGATCTCAAGCGCCGGCCATGGTGATGTTGTAGGCCTACATAACAGCCGATGGCCGCTCTCCGCTCGTATTAATCGACCGTGGCATCATAATAAATACCGAATATTATCGCGAGAATATTCTGGAGGGTGTATTAAAGCTTTGGGCACACAAACATTTTGGCCGCAGACCTTGGACATTCCACCATCGCACCTAGCATGCGCCACCCATAATTGGTTATAAAATGAGGTTCATCGCTTCATTTCCAGCGCCTAATGGCCATCAAAATCTCCGGATACCAATCCGTTGAGCAATTGTGTCTGGAGTATTTTGGAAAGCAGAGTGTCGAACACCTCAAGCAATCGCCTTGCCGGGAATGGGCCAAAATACCGCAGAGCAACATTCGGGCAGTGCGTGACGGTTTCATTGGCCGTTTGAAGGCCATAATTCGTGCCAAAGACGACCAGTTCGAACCAATCTAAATTTATTCTAAAATGTGTTGCTATTTCCGACATTTTTTGATTTCATTCAAAAAAAAAAAAAAAAAATAAAAATAAAAAAATATGTAAAAATTATGGCTTTTGACTTTGTTGCAGTTTTTTTCATCTCACCCTGCACTAAATTTATATGGAAGGTCTAAAAATATCGGCCAATTCCTTCTTGCACTTGCAAAATTGACGTTATTGTCCCATAATATTCTTGTGAACCTCCTACAGGGTTGCCCATATTCGACGGACCCATTGCCCATTCCAATCGACGAGGCTTGTCCGCAGGCAACATTCTTTGCGTCAATTGAATTTTATACGGGAACAAATGCAAATCAATGCGAATAATCCGTTGTAAAGTGGACCGAGCCATGCCCAACTGCTGAGAACGGCGTTTTTGGGATGTTCTTGGGGACCTCTCAACACGGCAGCGATATTCTCAGCCGATCGCCTTGGTCGACTTTTATATGGCCTCTTCGGATTAGAAAGAGCCTTACCAGTCGAACATTTTTCGTATAAACGCTTAATGGTGTTCTTAGAAGGCGCACTTCTCACATTTTTTAATGTTTTAAAAGCACGTTGAGTTTTCACAATTGACTTCTCCTCTTGAATGTAAATTTCAACTATTTCAGAGCGCTCGCGTGGCGTGTATTGGTTCATAGTAAAAATCTGCTTGGACTTACGCTTCAAACGCGGTATGTCATTAAGGGATGTGACACCTCTGTCAAAAGTTATGGCGTTGCCAGATGGGTCCGTCGAATATGGGCAACCCTGTACTTATCATACTAAATTCCTTTAGTCAAGTGCGGATATAGAAAATCTAGGTCCATTCCTCGTACATCCCCAATAATTGTAGAGATTAATTGTTCTCATATAATGCAAAATGTCTTTCTGTTTGTCTGAAAGCTTTGCACATCCCAATATGGAGATGGAATATATTGGTTCAAAATTCCAATAATTTTTGTATTGTGCTGATAATATTTGTTTAATTTCTTATTCCACTATTCCATCCAAATCAATCGGCCACATATTACTTCAGAAAAACACAACCACCAAAACTGGACAATTGTAAGTGAATCATTCAGGATTTCTGGCTCTCCCACTGGAAAAGGAAATTGCATCAAATTAAAAAGTTTGATTTTGTCACAATTTTATTGGGAAACTTTATTTTATTCCGTTTTACGCCAAAGAACTTCAAACATGACGGAAGTGATAAAGAAAAACGAAAAGGAAAAAAATATCAACAAAACAAACGCTGAACTTAAATGTAAAAGCAAAACAAATACGAAGAACAACAAAACAAATGGAAAAAATCCAGCTTTTTTTACGAATGATTTTTCCCACAATTTCTTCTTTTCCGAAAAAAAATATATTTCTATAAACTTAAACAACTCAAATCATTTCTTCCTTTTTGATGCAGAACTCAAAATCCCAATAGCAGCTCACAGAGGAGGTAAAACGGAAAGTTTTTAAAAATATTTTTTTCTTTTGCGTTTCTTTTTTTTTTTTTGCCTGCATTTTACTTCTTGAACAGAAAAACCACTAAAAGTGTCATAATTCGATGCCCACGAGACGTCTATATCTTTGCGAATGAGAATTAGTTTGGAAGCCCAAGCCAAAGCCACTGGCGGAGAGCAGGACCAACAGCAACCAAAATAAAAAGGAATGAATGAAAGCAACAGGAAAAACAAAACACAATAAACATTTTAAACCTATACAAGTTGCATTTAAGCTCAGCACCAACCAGCCACCCATCCAACCAGCAACATGTACCGGCAAATGGCATTAGCAACAGAAGTACACCAGCATTGGTAGCACAAGCCCACCAGCATCATTTTTAAGCATTAACTTCTAGTTTAACAAATATGACAGAAACATTCACATAGTTCGAAACTTACA